TATATAATATCCTTTCTAAAACAACTATAGTACCTGCAATATGGCTGTATCTAGACTCATAGGAAGCAGCCCTCATTAAAATTTGTAATTGGTAAGTTACATTATAGTTAGTAACTCTTTTAGGAAAAAACCTTGAAGCTACCCTTAGCAAAGTTTCATAACAGATTTTTTTTTTTTTGAGATGGAGTCTCGCTCTGTCACCCAGGCTGGAGTACAATAGCACAGTCAGAGTTCACTCCAGCCTCCTCCCCCTGGGGTTCAAGCGATTCACCTGCCTCAGCCTCCCGAGTAGCTGGGATTACAGGGTCCTGCCACCATGCCCAGCTAATTTTTATATTTTTGGTAAAGATGGGGTTTCGCTATGTTGGTCAGGCTGGTCTCAAACTCCTGACCTAAAGTAATCTGTCCTAAAGTAATCAGCCTCCCAAAGTGCTGGGATTACAAGCGTGAGCAACGGCGCCCGACCTCACAACAGATGTTAAATAAATAATTAAACTATATCAGAGTTTATCCTGATAAATAAAAATCATAAATTTTATAAAATTCAGTAAAGAATATAGATTCAACAATTTAAAGACCATTTTAGACAAAAATATATGAAGTAATCAAACATATGACAGATTAATAGTGCTCAGATTTTTGGATGTGTGTGTATGGTACACAAAACTGTCTTTAAAGTTTCATTATTGACTTAAGGGTTACTTGATTTTAACCTACATTTACATATTAATAGTAATTATTAACTGTCTCATCTTTGCAAACCATGTAGTGTTTGTCAATTTTTATGAAGATTTTAATAGATTACAGAATATGTTATAGTAATGTATTATTTACTCACTAATTTTTAATGGTAAAGTTACAGAATGTCAAAATGCTCTCTTTTAACAATGATTGTCATAAAAAGCTTCCCTTCAATAATTTTCAAGTAATTAACAATAACCTATAAGTTTTATCCCTTAACTATACACATACAAAACACACATAAGAATTGCCAAATTACTAAATTGTAAATAGATGTAAGTATAAGTGACACAAACAAGGTAAAATATATATAATACACACAATTGTCCAGCTTTTCCAATTCTTATTTCTGATGTAGATAGCTGCAAGAAAGAAAGATTCCATCTTTTCTGCTTGCTTCTAAATTTGTGTTACTTTCCAAAAATATCTGTTTAGGATGCAGAAAGACTCATACAGGCAATATGTACTACAGAACCCAACTGATACCATCATTAACTTAAAGCAGGAGCAAATTGTGAGTCCCTTCTCCCAACTCCTATCTTCAGTATAATCACTAACATTCTAAGTGACCTTATGGAACTGCCAAATCTTAAAATGCACTGGACATCATTAAGGGAATAGTCAACTAGGTTCCATACAATTATACAATTGAATTAATTTGACTATATTCTAATATTCTGAACACTCATCATCTGTATATTTACATAAATTTAACAAATATTTGAAGATCACTGGGCTAAGACTCAATATAAAGATGTAAAGTACAAATACAGCAAGTCAATTTGAAAACTCAATTATTCAGCACATCGGTGTAGAATTTAAGAATCACTAATACCAGCCCGGTTAGTTTATGCTGTGCAATATAATAAATGCTAACATTTGAGTGTTACTATATTTCATGCACTCTCCTAAGTGTTTTATTCTATTCTGTCATTTAATCCTCACAAGATCTCTATCAGCAAGGTAGTAATGTTATCTCTCTTTAAAACAAGAGAAACTTCAAGTTTCCAAGCTTAAATAACTTGTCAATGATTTACAGCTAGAAAGAGAGAGAAAGGGAGGAAGGAAGGGCCTTAAGGACAGGGAGGGAAGGAAGAAGACATCTCAATAAGATCTTTTAAAAGATGATTTTTTTAAAGTGACTGTTTTTTTTTTCATTGAACATTCATAAGTGTTTACCTAATGGGTTAGTTGTCCCGTTTCCGGGCAAATCAAAATACCTCATAAACACCAAACTGTTCTATAATCATGCTTCCTTTAGGTCGATCACAAAGTTATAAGCATCTTGAAGCCAGGACTCTGTCTTATGCGTGTGTTATGTTCCCAAGCCTATCAAGTAGTCAAAGTGCTTTTAAAAGTTCCACATCACATCAGATCTTCTTTTCTGTGCTCTTTTAAACATCCATCTTAACATGAAACTTTGCTGAAAATGGAAAGAGGCGTAGAATCCCAGAGCCAAATGGGACCTTACAAAGGTCAAACAGTCTACCTTGTTATTGATCATGACCATACCCATGCTAATATTCTCTATGTCCCCAAAAAAATGTGGGAAGAAAAAGTGAGATAAATCTGATCATCTATGAATTGATTATTGCCATCATAAAGAAATTTAGAATTTCATAATTAAATGACGTTTATCAAGTCAGATGATGATGTAAGACCAGCACCCTTGACACTTATACCTAGAAATTTCTCAGGCTTAAAAACAAAACAAAACAAAGAAAACCTGGCAATTTGACAACCTGTAAAATTCTCATTTTAAAAGTTCAGTTCTCCAAATAAGATAATGCACAACCCCAAAACAAATGGCCAGCAAGTCTGATATAAACATTTTTATAGCTTTCAGAATATCAGATCCACCAGTTTTGATGGATATTTTTAACAGTTAAATTAACGCGATAAAGTTAAGGCCACGCTACATATCAAACATATCAAAATATCAAAAATAGCAGCAAAAAGAAAAATCTGTATGTGATAAAACAAAGCATTCTCATCAACAGATCATCAGCTATAGTCATCTTTTTCAAGCTTAAAACTCTTTTCAACTCTAAAACTGGCTCCAAGCAAATATTAATTACATGCCAAACCTTGAAAGTAGTACTACGAATGTCATTGTAACTAACAGGAGTTAAATCAACAACTTGTTAGACTTAACAGCTTACTGGAAGAAAATTTTGCTTCCATACCACTAAGCTTCCATAAGTCACAACAACTGTGCCCTATTCAAAGACTGAATTTTAAAATAAAGGTTGATGGAAAAAACTCGTCATAAGGGCTCACAAATTAGGGTGTTATAACACTATTAAGCCAAAAAAGGAAGCTGTTTTAAATGAGTAGCACACAGGAATACAAAACTAGTGTCTACCTCTACAACAAGAAGAGTTGACTCTAAACACTACACCTGCTTTAAAACACAGTCCATTTGCCTACACTGCTTAAGTTTTAACATTAGCCTCTGAATTAAAATATCAAGTCCTTCCAATGCTACATTATTGAGGAGATTTTTAAAAAGTGTTTTCTTCTTCCATGGGAAAACCAATGTGTTCCTTCAAAAAGTAATCAACAATTCATTTTCACAACCACTAAGAAATTATCATGTAAATAATTCCTGTATCAGCTATGCATACTACCTGGCTTCAGTCTTCCACAGAGCTTTGCCTAACTAGATCTGCCTCTGTAGAGGTATATTCTCTCAGTCCTTAACACAAACGAAGTCAGGATAGTAAACTCGTAAGGTCCCCTCCAACTATCCTGTCACTCAACTGTAAGCAACATCCCCAATTCTCCTTCATGGAATAGAACAGCACACAAATTCAATCTAGACTCTGGCATCAATTTAAAAAGGTATATAGCATTAAGAACTTTGTATTGGAATCAAGTATCTGGGGAGTCGGCATACAGAAACAGTGTACAATTAATAACATTCCATTTATCATACTATACTCTGTGTAAATTAGATTTCATTACAGTGCTGGAAACGTGGTGGTAAACTGGAAGTGGAAATTCTCAGCCCAGACGGGACACTCAATTCCATCATGCAAACTTTGCTTCCCTCATAAGCAACTACCTTGACTCACCTACCGTGTAATAGGATTCTCCTCCTCCTAAATCACACTATCCAAGAAATATGCACACATCTCTTTTAACAAATACTAGTAAAACTTCAGTTTACGGTTTCACGAAATGCTGAAAACCAATCTTTGAGCAAGCTTAAGCTCTGCCCCTCTACTTTTCTTACCAAGAGCCCTCTAATAATGTCTCGCAGTGTTCTGATACTCCTCTCCCACCAAAGGCTGGTGTCCTTATTTTCCCAAATCACTGCCTTCCATTAATTACCACTTAAGTCCGTTTCTCTTGCATGAAAGGCAGACTTTTTTTTTTTTTTTTAGCACGATCCTTAATAAGTAGGCTTCTGGTCTGGCATACCTGGGAACAAAACTCACAGAGACTAACTCCCAAACATGACAGGAAAACAGGAACACAACACGAGGGAAAGGATGGGAAACAGGCGCGTGACTGTTTTGGTTAGAACAGCCGGGGCACACAGTCCATGAAATTAGGTATTTAACACGTAAATCTTGTTCCTGGGGGTTGGTAAAATAAGCACGGGCAGTGTGAGAGACGTCCCACAAGCTGGAAGGCAGGGACGAGGCTCAATCTAGAGAGATCCAGAAGCTGCCAGGGCAGAGCCGGGCGCGGGGGCGGGGGGCACAAGACGGAAGAAAACTGGCTGTAGGGGATTCTGCGGCTGGGTGGGCTAAAATGGTGCCTTCTCCAGGGTGGAAGGCCATGAGAAGTGGACCCGGAGGCTTCATTCCGTCGGGCTCTGGTCCCTAGTGTTTCTGGCCTCACAGCTCAAGTTTCACCGGGAAAAAAAGAAAGCGGCAAACGTGCATCCCGGCACCTTAACCCACGAGTCTGCGCTCTCGGCTTCCCACGGAACGAGCGAGGAAGTAACGGTCCCCGGAGCAAACCCGGAGTTCGGAGCGCGAAGCACCATCGCCAACCCTCGGCCATCCGCACGGCGACCCGCGCGGCCGCGGGGGAGGGGAGCGGGCCGCCGGCGCAGCATTCGCTGGCCCGGCCCTTCCAGGGCCTCGCCCCGGGCGCGGCGAAAAGTTTCCAACCAAAGTCCTCGGCACTCGCTCGCACAGCCAACCGCCTCGCTGCCCCGAAGAACGGCTGGCAGAGCCGGCCGCGGCGCCCGCACCCTCAGTGGCGGCTCCCTCAGCCCACGCCGGCCGCCGAGGTTCACCTACCACAGAGCCTGGAGAAGAGCAGCAGCGGGAAGAGCAGCAGCAGCAGCGGAGGTGGCGTCGGGGGCTGCAGCAAGAGCCCGGCTCCGAGGAGAGAAGCGGAGGAAAGTTGTGCTTTGCCGCCTCCAGGACACAGCGGGGCCGGCCGCGGAGTCCGCGCCATCCCCCACCCTCCCCCCGGCCCGCTCTCCCGCCCGCCCCCTGGCTCCCCCGGCCCCGGCGCCTCAGGCTCTGGGCGGAGGCTGTGGAAGGTCCGGCGCGCGCGTCCCCAGCTCCCAGCTCTAGCGCCGTCGCTGCCGGCTGACACTCGGCGGAGCGCTGGCGGCTGCCTCGACACCGCCGTCGCCGACGCCACTGCCGAGGCTGAGGCGGGAGCCGCCCGCCGCCGCCGCCACTCCCCTCCCCCCGGCACCCGCCCTCTTCGAACTCCTGGGAACTCGGAACGCACCACCCCGCCCCACGCGAGAGGGGGAAAAGAAGCCGACCCTCAGAGCCGGCGCCCGACTCGCCCGCCCTCCCCGCGCAACTCCAGCTCCCGTCTGATCCCCGGGCGCAAGCCCTGTCTCCTCCCACCCCGCCCTCCTACACATGCTCCTCCCCTTTCAAAAAAAAAAAAACTCTTTTCATCCACTTTGATAACGGGGTTTCTCCCAAAGCAGAGCTTTAAAAGGGACAGGAAAATCTGGAATAGGTTAGTCGGCCCCGCCCCTCGTTCCTGCCTGGTTTCCCCCCTTCCCTGCCTTTCCAATGGTCTCGCCCACTCCACCCCTAGCGGGTCCACCGAGGCCCCGGCGCTGACTGAGGCGAGGGCTGCGGGATAATCACGCTCGGCCCTCGCCTCTCCCGGGTGGCGCTCTCCTTCTGGCGGGGACCTGGGACGAGGAGGGGTGGGGAGGGGAAGGCGGGATGGGGCTGCCCTTCCGTTGCCCATGCTAAAGGTTCCTGTGTAGGAAGCTGGACGCAGCCTGCTGGACTAGTAATCTTCCTCCTCGCTGGGGCGCAGGGGACTGAAGGGAGAGACTTTCTCCTCCTTCCTGTTCCCCGGGACAGCTGTGCTCTCCGAATCCCTCCGTTCTTCCCAGCCCGCTTATCCCCCGCTCGCCAAGGCACGTTTGCACAGGCGTTTTTCCTGCTCTTTTCTGTGGGAGGGCGGCTTGGTAGAACGGCCGGCCGAGCTGGGCGAGGAGAGGGGTCTCAGAAGGTTTGCTTTCTTGCTGTTGCTTCTCACTGGCCGCTGGGCTGTCCACTTTCCGCGCCGGGCGACTGGCAACAGGAGGCCATGGATTTCCCCCAACGAGTGCGTTGGTGTTTTTCCTTGGTTTTGTTTCATTTGCATGTTCGTATGTGTAGTTTTATTTTCTTGCCTGTTTCCCTTTGATCGCAGAGAAGCGACCTCGGGAAGTATTAAACATTTGCCCTTATAAGAAGAGCGTCTGTGGTCCACCATGACCCTCGCTCATCCCAGGTGGCTGCCCGCCCTGCCCTCTCCATCCTCCCGCCTCGCACAGTACCGGCGGCTTGACCTTGGAGCCACTGCCACATCGGTTCCGCGGGGGGGAGTAGGAGGGTGGACAATTTGGACTGTCCGTCGTAGGGCGGCGGATTGTAGGCAGAGGACACCAGTCCGCAGGCCTGACACTATTAATTTTATGTAGGTCCTGTCATCTCCACGAGATAGCCATAAATGTGTTCCAGTAGCAGGAAAGCTGAACAAGGATCAGCCGCCCAGAAATTAGCCTGTCGCAGCTAAACGAATGCATGCTTGCGGCCAAGACCACGCTGTCCTCGGCTTTCAGTCAATAGGGTCTTCCCACCTTCCGCCCGCTGGATTACAAGGCCTTACTCACCTCCAAGGCTACAAGCCATTCTACACCCTGCCCACCTCTTTTTTCTTTCTTAACTTCTGCCTCCCACCCAGTCTCCCAGCGCTCGGTCTAGTGCCTTTTTTCCCTCCAGCTCTTTCCTCTTCCCTCCCTCCCTGTGCCTGTCTGCCTCTGTCGTCCCCTGTAAGCTTGTCTCCTGCAGCCAAGGTTTTCTATCACCTATCCTCAAGATGCATTTATGAATACACCTTGTCCTGCATCGCTCCGGGAGATCCCCTGATGATGATCATAATTGACAAAATGTAGCTATTGTGACATTCCTCAGCTGTGCTGACACCACCGTTTCCCTTGAGAAAATTTCTTTTTCTATATTCTCATTCCCTAAACCTAATTTCACTGCTAAATTTAGACAGCCCACTGCACAGCCACTAGCTAATTATCTGTTTAGATAGCACTTTAACACGTTGTTGAGACTCAGTTAAATGTTAAACAACCAGAATTTTAATATCACTAGCCAATTTCATTCCCCCAGGTTTTCCCTGATGGTTCTGCATCTCCAAGAATTTAGCCAACATTTTAAAAAATACCAAAGGCTCAACTTGTGTGGGGGCCATTGGGCAATTGCTACAGAGACCATAAGGAATTAGCAGGTTTAGTTCTCAAAAAGATGACATGGAGCTTTAACAAATATATTTCCTCCATACTTATGGAAATTGAATAGTGGTCTGCTATGATCTTCTCTGACCTAAAGTGAATAGAGAGCATGGAAGAGCATTATTTATAGATGTTACATAAGCATTAAAAGAGCACCATGCTGGTGTTTTATGTGCATATATGTATTGTGTTCTAATAATAATAATTTGTGTTTATACAGCATCTTCAACTAAAGATGTCAAAGCACAAGCTCACTTCCCACGGAAGGTAGCAATTACTATTATCTCTACTTGACAGCTACAAGAACCTAGGCACAGAGGTTAAGTGCTCTGCAAATACTACCAGCCATATGTGGTGGTTTTCCTGCCAGAACCAAGTTCTTACCTTCCAGTGGACACCATTGACCTCTCAAGATTATTCTTTAAGTTAAAAAGTAATATAAGGTAACTCAAATTTCTATTTTCTGTAATAAAAGTGCCCAATCTTAAATTACATTCTCAGATGAATGAATTTTAGACATACCCACCCAGGCTTTCCTGTTGGAAATTTTTACTGGCCACAGAAAAAGATTTTACGTTACATATACAACTCATGTTTTTCAAGGGCAGAAATACTGTGAATTTTTTAAAAACCTTTAACATGAGAGTATTACTGCTTTCTGTGCCATTTTTAGTCCTCTAACTTTATAGATAAGTTCACATTTATTGTTTGAGTAACAAACTGTTTAAGGAATACTTAATTATACTTAACTTATTAATATTTCTGACACCATTGAATAACAAAGTATGCATACATTTTTTTCAGAAAAAAAAATTATCTGAACAGAAAGCAACATAATCCTAATGCCAACAATGGTTTCATTGTTTTGGGTTAAGAGTACTGATGGTGTCCATCCTACTTTTGGCTCAAAGATTGTTTGCCAGTTATCAAGGTTCATTAACTCTTAACTAAAAAACAAAGGTTGACATCTTAACAAAGAAGTAATTATGTACAGTGCTGGGCATTTTACATTTACTAACATAATCCGAGTGAAAGGTTTGAGACTATTATTAGAATTTCATAGCTGACTCTGAAACAAAGGAGGTATTTTTATAGGAGAGGTAAGACATTATATACTTCGGCTAATTCTTCTTAACATCAGCAAATTTTTTATAACCTGCTGTGTGAGGAAGCATAGCTTTTCCTTTAGTAGAAGCGGTGAACAATATTTTGTAGAATATTTGAACTTTGTACTGTATTTGATAATAAGCTTATGTTACCCAGTTAGGATCACAGTTTTTGTAAAGAGAATTATGCAAATAATAAAAAACAAACTGCAGAACCACGGAAAAGTCCATCCACTTGCAAAACGTTCAACAACCTTACTCTTATTAAATTCTAGTCTTTCTTACTGAAGAGATCTTCCCTGTATGCTCATGTGATTTTCTCCCTCTTATTTCCTTTGAGTCTTTGATAAAATTTATCATTGAGGCTTTCCAGGACCACATCATATGAAAGAGCTGCCCCCACCCTAATCCCTCTGCCCTTAACTTGCTTTATTTTCTCCATTGCCCTTACCATCTGACATGTCTCTAATTTACTGTCTGTTCCCTTTCACTGGAATGAACATTCCACAAGGGCAAGCAAGTATCTATATTTTCGCTGTTAAAACTCAAGTAGGCCAGGCACGGTGCCTCCTGCCTGAAATCCCACCACTTTGGGAGGCCGAGGCTGGCAGATTGCTTGGGTCCAGGAGTTCAAGACTAGCCTGGGCAACATGGCTGTGTTAGTCTGTCCTCATGCTGCTAATAAAGACATACTCGAGATTGGGTAATTTATAAAGGAAAGAGGTTTAATTGACTCACAGTTCCACATGGCTTGGGAGGCCTTAATCATGGCGGAAGGCAAGGAGGAGCAAAGTCACATCTTACGTGGTGGCAGGCAAGAGAACATGTCCAAGGGGACTCCCCTTTATAAAACCATCAGATCTCATGAGACTTACTCAGTATGAGGAGAACAACACAGGAAAGACCTGCCCCCATGATTCAATTACCTTCCACTAGGTCCCTTCTACAACACGTGGGAATTGTGGGAGCTACAATTCAAGATGAGATTTGGGTGGGGACACAGCCAAACCATATCAATAGTAAAACCTCGTCTCTACTAAAAATACAAAAAAAATTAGCTGGGTGTGGTGGCGTGTTCCTATAGTCCCAGCTACTCTGGAGGCTGAGGTGGGAGAATCACTTGAGCCCGGGAGGTCGAGGCTGCAGTAAGCCAAGATCGCATCCCTGTACTGTAGCCTAGGCAGCTGGAGAAAGACCCTGTCCCCGCAAAAAACCAAAACCCCAAGTACCTAGAATAATGTCTGCCATATAGATTCCAAATTGGATGACTAAATGATTATGATGACATACCATACTCAAGTGCATGTCTCATTCAGTAGAGGTTTATGCTTCTTGAAGGTTTTGAACATAGGATTGATCGTGTATAGTTTTTTTAAGCTGGAAGGTGGTTACTCTGACCATTGCTTAATACTCTTGATATAATTGTTGTTAGTGCTGTTTATTAAACTATTATCTCTCCACTTCGTATTCATAGTTCTGCCCTGGTTTTGTAAGGCTGGTGCTAGGACTCTGCAAACAATGTATCTCCTTTACCAACTGGCTTCCTGACAGGTTCTATCAATAGAGGTTACTGGAGGAAATGTGGACCCCTGGAGTAGGAGAAAAGGGACTTGCTCCTTTCCATTTGCTTCCTGCTATCAGCATCACCTCAGCAATAATAACCTGTCATCCTGTCTTTAGCTGTTGATTCCAGTCTCCTACTTCTTTTACACTCTAAGTCCCAGAGTCCTCATGACTCCTCAAAAGTACCAGCCCCAGCTAGGCTGTTTCTACTTCTCAGAGGTCCAAGCCCCAGCTAAGAAGGATGGCTCCTCTAAACTTCTGAGTTCTAATAACACA